ATCCAGTCAAAATTCTCCCAAAAGGAGGGTGAAATTCCCCCGAAAATGTAGTCCAAAATCCAAAATAAAAAAAAATAAAAACCCCCCAAAAAAAACGCGCTGAAAAACGTTGACATGGAAACAGAAATTGCATTTGGAAAGATGTCGTCTGCCCCTGTTTCTCACGAGCTCGCTGCCTTAGGTGTTCGCTCTTGCATTTTATTAATAGCTTAATCATTAATTTCCCTGTGGGTGCTTCTTAACACGAATTGGCTAATGTTTCTTGATTTCTTATATTTCGTTGTTGATCGTTGATAATCGGGCGTATTAGAACCCGCGGTTGATTTTGAAATGTCCCGTTACGTCTTTTTCAAATAAACGTGGTTACACGTGTTTCATTTAATTCTGTGATGATGATGATGATGATGACGGTGGACTAATGAGATGATATCGCAGTAAACTGATTCCTTATTTACCAATTGGATTCTGACACCGTAATTTTTTGGATGGTTACAAATTTACGAGATGGATAGAGACGTTTTTCCTGTCGTGAGAACCTCGTATCTCGGAGTAGCTGTAAAAATACGACTTAATTGTGTGTGCGTGTGTGTTTTTCCTTTGTGTTTGTAGGCGAGAAGGCACGAAAATGTAATTTTTAATTTTTGTTTTGAATATGAAACTTTCTTTGACCCAAAAGAACAATTGTGATACTGAGAGACATACAAATTGCCTGTTTTGATACATTTCGGTGTGTTTTGATTGATTAATCATCGTTTAAACGGTAATGTCGCTCGTCGGAATTTTCAGTGAAGTGTCCGATTTATCGCAAACTTGTCTGAGGACATCCGACCGTAACCAGTTTTATGTTCGACGCGAGTTAAGTAATATCGCACATTTATGATGTGGTTTAAGAATTCTGAACTATAATAGAGAATTAAGTCAAAACACGTGAAATTGCGGCCGTGCCGATTTCAAGCCCTGCATCAGCTGCAACATTGGGATGAGGGCGCAGGAATTCAATATTGCTATCTGTTTCGTCTCTTTCCTTCTTCAGGAAGGGTCGCGAGTTTAGTAGCATTTTCAACAGCTGAGAAAGACTTTCTAGAAATTTCCATAAAATAAATTGACAACAATATATTCTGAAGGGTTCTGACGATTGTAAATACAACTGAATTGTTGGGTGTTTGGACTTTGTGTGTCGTCTTGTGCTGTAAAATTACTCGACGTTCTTTGGCTCTGTTTCAGGGCCGTGTTTTTGGGGCCACTAATGGCGCTGACAGTAGACAGATATGATAGAAGGGGGAGGGTATATTTTGTATTTGCCCCCCCACGGGGTTTCTGGATTGGGTGGTTTTGCATTTGGTTTGACGTATTTTAATTTCCATTTCCAAGTTTGCATTAATATTGACATTTATAAGCCTTCTTATAATTCTTATTGAAAATCTTTATCATCCCCCCCCCCCCCCCCCCGATGCATATATGCATGTAGTTTTTGCTTTGTTATATTTATAGGTACTGGAAAATTAATTAATCATAATTTAATCTCCAACTTAAGCTTTCTTCTTTATGGATACTGACGGCCTTCCACGCAATAAGGACTCATGTTACAATTTTACGAATATTAAAACTTATGTTGTGTTTCCTCAGTACCTCCCAGTTTATAACTACATCTGTTATGGGATTTAAGTTGTTTTGAGAAGGGCTTTTGAATATCTCACGGCGGTGAGCACGAAGATGGCTGTATTCTAGGTTGTAGCGCCGCGTAGTATGGTAGAAGTTTGTCGACGTTATCGCCCTGATGATGGAAGTAACAAGGACCTGTGAAACGTTTGTAAACTTCTGTCATACTACACGGCGCTAAAACTCAGTTGACAGCCATGAATGTTTTTTTTTTTAAGTAAATACGAAATCCATTTTTTAAAATAAATTTTACTTCAGTAACCGAACTATCAATAATTAAAATATTAATGATTTCTGAAATTTCGTAATGACTGTTTGGCCGTTCGATTTGACGCATTTACGAATGATTTCAGGCCGTTCGCCGGGTTCGGCTGTCGGAACGAGACCGTTCGGTCAGCCGCTGT